GAGGAGTGGTGTGTTGTAACCTGCGAATACCCTTAGCTACGCGACTGTTCTTAGTTACCTGTTTTTCAGACGTAATAGACCATCATTCAATTTTCAACCATCAAGCCACAAAGCACTCGCTACACACACGAAAGCCGCTCTTCGAAATTATGTCTAAGACAAAGTTGTAGAAAACTGATAAATCGTACCGAAACAGGTGAATAAATAAACAGGAATGAACTCACCAAATGAACGATGGTTTGCCCGTGCAGCATAAACTTGAAAGATTCTTTCTTCTTCTAATTCTGGTTCAACATTTCACAACATTCCATCGGATCATCAAAGAAACTCTTGCACAACCCGTTTGAACATTAATAGAAGCACCCTACCACCAAACCATGTCATGTTCCATGTTCATGTTGTTATCTGTTTGGTTTCTCCACTCGCAGTTGTCAATTTTCACTATTTTATCCATAGCTTCCCCGAGCAAAGTTAGAGATCAAATTGAAATCAGAATTTGCTGTTATGATGTAACTTATTTTGAATACTCCATTTGATCTCATTTTGGTTGACTTAACGGTTAACACATCAAAAATGAGAGCAAAATTTTACACTGTTGAATCAAACGGAAAACTAATCCTGCTTTCAATGAAATCAATTTGATTACTGATTTTGCATTCATAATGTTTGACTGAATACGGGCCTGGTGTAAATGGTTAGCATCCAAGCTTCTCACGCTGAAAGATTTGAGCTCAAATGTCACCTCGGGCTAATCACGAATGACCTAAAATGTGTTAAACAAAACAAATAAACAATAATCGTTCGTTCAACGACAGATGAACTTAAATCAAATTTTAAACAAGAAATTAACAGCAGAACTTCAAGTTAAGTTGCTTTGATTTAAAAAGTTTTGACTGCATAATGAAAGTACAATATGATATCAGACTTCTGTCACGACAATTGAAATCAAAATGAGTTTTCATTGTGATAGGAACTGCAAACTTTAATATCGATTTGCTTTCATTTTGTTAACCGACTTTGCTCGGGTCGCGAGATCGTGCGGGACGTGAATAAAAAGTGCACAGTGGAAGTGATAATTATCGGTGCCAGTGAAGTGTCCTATTCAATTTTCTTAGTAATTAGTGCTGTGAGTTTGTAGTGAACATGACTAACGATCTTCGTGAACTTCAGAAGCAAGAAAGGAACATTCGAAGGACTCTCGATGGTATCCAGTATTTCGTAGATCATTATGAAGAGGAGCAGAGTGATCAGGTGGAAATCCGCTTGCATAGATTGGAGGAGGCTGTTCAAGGAATTCCACGCAGTCCGTCGAAGAACTGAGTTGTTGATGGATGACATTGTTCCTGCAGAAGAAGCTGAAATCAAGGTATCCAAGGAACAACATCAAGCTCGCATAGATGCTGTGAAGCAGGCGAGAGAGGAAGAAAACGTGCCGATCGTTATGAAGATTGAAAATAGCTACTACAAGTTGAAGGCTAGTCTTTTAAGGATAATGCCGAAGCCTGATCTTGTTGGAGCTAGACCTGATGCCCGACCAGTACTGCAAGCCGGTCCGATCAATGGTTCGAGAGTAAAATTGCCTGAAATAAAATTGCCGAACTTTAGTGGACAACTCATGGTGTGGGTCACCTTCCGAGGCACTTTCCATAGCTTGATACACAAAAATCAACAGTTGACAGCTATGGATAAGTTCTCGTACCTACGATCAGTGTTGGAAAAGTGAACCAAAACTCACTATGACTCGCGAACTTTTCCCTTGGTGATCTTTTCCGACGCTGCCTACGATCTTCACTGACGGGCGAAACTCTACAAGAGATCAACACGGTGGGGATCTCTGAAGTCAATTACGAGGTGGCTTGGACAACACTGGAACGGAGGTACGAAAAAAAGAACTTAATCGTCAAGGCCCATTTGGATTCCTTGTTTGCGGTAGAAGTTATGAAGAAGGAGAGCTACGAATCACTGAGTAATCGGAGAGGAGACCGCCAATTGGAGCACCATATTAGTGCACATTGTTCGCTCGTGCTTAGATTCCGCTACTCTTCGACACTGGGAGACACATCACAACCCGAAAGAGGTTCCCACATACATGAACCTAATCCAGTTCGACGCCACCATTGCCAACAGAAACATCATTACCTGTTGCACAATGCCTCGAATCAGTCTGTATATCCTCCGTATCGGCGCAAGCGAAACCTTCATCAGCGAACCAACAGCAACACCAGACACAATCACACACTCAAGGCCAGTCTATACCCAACCAAACCATTCAACCTTCCACAAGCGCTCTCCCTATTACACTCTCGCAGAACACTAAACCACTGTCCACCACAAACCAGACATGCACTAGTCAGAACACAATTTCACTGTCAATCAGTAACTAAAACCGTACTTGAGACGTACTGCTATCCGCTGCTGTGGTGTGGCGTTAAAGATCAGTACGGAGCGACACGACTAGCCAGAGCTTTACTAGATTCGTGTTCGCAATATTGCTTCATGAGCACCAATTTCTGCCAAAAGTTAAAACTTCAAGGCTTCCCGGATTATTTGGCGGTCCAAGGAATTGGAGGAACAGAATCGGAGGATGGTCAAGGCATTCATCTTTCCCCGATCTGGTGATATTTCGTCGTATGCCGAAAACATGCCATTCTATGTGCTACCAGAGCTGACAGCAACACTTCACGTTCGAAAGATCAGCACCAGCCAATGGATTCTTCCTAGCAGCATCGTGTTGGCAGACCCGCAGTTCAGTGAACCAGGACCCATCGATACCATCATTGGAGCGGAGTATTACTTTGATCCCCTAACCGATGGGCGCAGTAAGGTATCGGAAACCGCACCAACTCTGCAAAATGCCGTCTTTGGCTGGGTCGTGTCCTGTCCCATTCCAAATCAACCAGTAAATCCGCCTCAAGCAGTGTCATATTCATGTACACTAGCGGACATCCAAGACCAGTTAGCACGATTTTGGGAGCCGGAGTCCTGCAAGTCCAGCAGCATCCATTCAGTGGAAGAGTCAACGTGTGAAGCGCTTTTCGACGAAGCAACAACACGGGATAGTAGTGGAAGATTTGTAGTGTCCCTACCGAAGATGGAGCTCGTGATGCAGCAGCTTGGAGAGTCTGAAATAATCGCTACTAAACGTTTTCTCGCCCTGGAAAGACGCTTGGAAGCAAATCCAGATCTGAAAGCTCAGTACCAGGATTTTATTCACGAGTACGAGCGGCTAGACCATTTGACATCAACGATTCTGATTTCCCGGTATACTTTCTCCCACACCACGCTGTATTCAAGCCGGATGCGTCTTGCAAAACTTTCACGGGCGTTTCCCTGAACGATGCACGAATGGTCGGTCCAGTCGTGCAAGACGATCTTGTGTCAATTCAGCTCCGTTTCCGCCTCCATCTAATAGCAGTTGTTGCAGACGTCGAGAAGATGTACCGAATGACACTGGTGTACCTGTTGGATCAACGGCTTCAATGCATCTTGTGGAGAAACTCACCGAACGAGCCGATTCGTATCTACCAGTTGACTACATTCACATACGGGACAGTGTGCGCACCTTACTTAGCTACGAAGTGTTTGCAACGTCTAGCAGAGCTTCAGTCCGACAAGTAACCCGTTGCAGCGAAGGCGATGAAGAATTACTTTTACGTCGATGATATGATTGACTGGAGCCGATGACATCGAAGCCATTGTCGGTTTGGTGAAGGGAATCGTTGAGCTAACCTTCTCGGGTGGATTTAAGTTAAGAAAGTGGAATTCAAACTCCAGCGCTCTTCTGGCTGAGATACCAACTCATCTTGTAGATGATCAATCTGCCTTGGACCTTGATACGTCGAACGCTCCTGTCAAAACACAAGGTCTGCTATGGCATACGAGCTCTGATTGCTTCCTTTTTCGGTCACCCGTCTGGAATGCAGATGCAGTTGTTACCAAACGAGTTGTACTTTACTCGACCTCCAGAGTAAATTTCCAAGGGATTTTTGTGAAGAACTTTACGAGAGATTTGACTAAAATTCCAACTCAATTGTGAGGGTTCTGGAAAATTCCATAACGATTGTGAAAATGATTCCAGGATTAGTGAAAAATACTAAGCTTAGGGCATAATTCCTAAAAATATATGCCTTAAGGGAATAACGAGGATATTTCCAAGAGCATCTCGAAAAGAGTTATTTGAGAATTTTGATGAGGATTCGAAGTGAATTTTTAAAGAAATTTAGAGGGGAACTCGCATATTATTCTGAACAAAATTTTAATGCAATTCTGACGTGAATTGCATGATAATTCTAAGCGAATTCAAAAAATAGTGAAGCTGAAGCGAATAAAAAAAGCAAATTCAAAAAGCAACGCATTTCATGGCTCTTTTTGGGTGTTCTGCAGAGAATTTATGTATTGGTATGATGAAATTTTCAAGGATTTCCCAGAAAGAAGCTCAAATTTTTGTTAGAAGAATTCTGAAAAGAACATTGTTAAGGGAACTGATTCTAAAGGAAACGTTTGAGAAAATTCAAATAAAATACTGTACAATCCTGTAGCTTTCGATGCCTGTACCATTTTTGCATTAGTATAATTGCATGGCAAATACAATCATGCTTTATGCTCATGGCTGTAGAGAAATTTTCCAACCCGAAAAAGTCCTAGACCGGACCGGGAATCGACCACCTCCAGCATTGTTTTTGTTCATTATTGATCAGGGGTTGAATGCAGTTACTTTCGCTTTAGCAACACGTTTTCTGTTCCTATTCCTTTGCCTTCTACCTGCCATGGAATTACCAGACTCAACACAAACTTACCAGCCCGATAAGCTTACGTGTTACGTCTACGTAACAAGCCTCTCCGAGTGCATGTGTTCGTACCATCGTCGTTCTTCACTAAAAATAACAACAACTTTCGTGTACACTATACCACCGAGGAAACATATCATAAAGGCATTGTAATCAAAACAAAACGAGACGTCATTCTAGAACGTTGCGGGTCAGCGTATAGGAAATTTGGTGAAATTTTCACAGCAAAAGAAAATTCTAAATTGCATTTAAAATTACAACCATGATCGCCGGTGGACACGGTGAACCAAATCCGAACTCCTCGTGGATGGACTCGCGGGGTCTGTGGTTGGCTTACGTGCTCGGCATCACCATCTTTCACATCGTCGTCCTGGCTGTGCCATTCATTGATATTCCATACGCTTGGACGATTACCAATATTGCCCACAATTTGGTGAGTAGGTACCTAATAAGAATTAATGATTTGAATTTGATGGAGTAGTCGTGCAGAAGACTGTCACAGCAATAGAACAAGGACGGATCTTATCTTATCTTATCTAATATTATGTATGCTTTACTCTCGTAGGCACATCTGTACTTCCTTCACTCGATAAAGGGTGCCCCGTGGATGAGCATTGATACGGGCGATTCCAGAAAGTATACTCACTGGGAGCAAATCAACCATGGCGAGCAGTTCACTGCTACAAGGAAATTCCTGACGGCGGCTCCGATTGTATTGTAAGCATTTGAAATGGAACTTGCCGAAGATGATGAGTGATTCTAATAACTTAAATTATGCGCAGGTTCCTACTGACATGTCTGTACACCAGAAACGATGTCGACCATTTCATAGCGAATTTCATCTCCCTTGTCGTGGTGTTGGTACCAAAGTTACCTCAATTTCACGGAGTTCGACTGTTCGGAATCAACAAGTACTGAATTCGATGAGGCTCATTTGGCGGTAATGACATAGCTAGAAGCATGTGAAATATCCGAAACGACATATACTGGGATTTGGGTGTAGTTTGGAACTATTACAACAAATATTATACCTAATATACATACAAATTACTAGATAATCTACATGAAGAATGTTTCTCATCGGGATGTGGAGTCTCATAGAAAAAAAAAGTAACGAGATTTATAAGGGAATGTTTTATGACCTAGGCGGGGTTTTTTGACACTGACCGATCGAAGGTTTATTGTCAGTGTGTTTTTAGCCGAATGAGGTTTCTGAAGTTTAAGTTTGAGATGTGTGCTAACCTGGTACTCGTGGGAACTCATTAGATGTGAGTGAAATACTTATGCGTAACTGTGTGTATTATCTGATTATGATAAATAAAATTGTGGGAGATGGATGCATTTTACCTTATTGCAGTATCACAATCACCCTTAGCCTCCCTTAGCTCATAATTTCGGAAGAAATTCCTTTGATCACGCATACCACTACTCCACTGAAAGAATATTCTATAACCTATGCAACGTTCGCTCAACATCTAAACTCCCTTAAGTTTACAAAATATTCTCAACTGCTACGATTTTCCCTGAATTTATTCCAAATTCCATATTTTTCCCTCTCTCTTAATTCTACGATTACTTCTAAAAAGACCCCCATCATCTTCAAAAATGTTTAAATCGTCAATCATCCATATGTAAACAATGACAATGAACGTAGATTTTTCACGAATTAAAACTCATTCAGGTAAACCGACATCAGCATCTGGCAAACGAAATTTACTTTACCGGATGCTACTGTCGTTTTGCCTGAATGAGTCTTAATCCACGAATCACTGACGTTTAAAGTCTTGGATCTTTTCACATGTTGTGCCAGAATTTGCCTGCACCAAAGTTCAGATTTGCTGAAATCTGTAATGTAAATCTCTTTTCCTATAGCCATTAGGCGGAACATTTCGTAGGTAGCTGATAAATGCGTCTCATTATAATTTTACATGTCAACAAACTTGAACGAGTAAAATTACAATTTCGCTTCATTTTACGTCGTGTAAAAATACTAACGGACACAATTGTATGTCATTTGAGTCGCTTACATGTGGCAGTCTTAGGAGATTTAAAATTACATGAAGATTTCGAAGTGTGTAGGCTCTGATTCAAACATTACACACTTAGACAAAAAAAAACACACTACAAACATAGTGTAGTACTAGAATTTCAACTAGAATGGGGTACGTTAATCGTTTGCTTGGGACCAATAGGTTAGTCGAGTAGTGAGCCAATTTAAAATCGTTAGTTTCCACCGGTGATTGGTCTTTCTTTCAAGCTTCGGTGAAATGGACGAGCAAAGAGCGCTCGACTTTGATAGTTTCGTTTTTCATGAAACACATCAACAGAGGTTTCATGACGTATATGACGGAAAATGAAAATGTATACTTAAAGCATTTCTCACGTGAAAACTCTTGAAGATTACGGTTAGGACTATCACATCGAACATAATCAAGGACGGACAGGAACAAAGTCGCGCCAACGATAATGGATCACATCATTCGAGCAGTTTAAAATGACGTTTCCTACCACTCGAACTTTAACGTGGAACGATATTTTAATATTTTTTCTTCTACAACCTCGAGAAAATAGGGTCTTATTTGTAAAATGCTTGAAAAATCTGGAATTGATTGTTTCATTTCCGTAAAATCGCTGGTAGAAGGTCGTCCCAAAACTGCTCGACAATATGATTAATTAAATTCGGATTGTAAAGGAGCTAAAAAGTAAAGCAGTATACCATAGAGGTAACTCTAAGACCACTGGGTCCCGAAGAAAATCATTATTATTTTTGGCTCACTCAGTACCAGAACAACGGTCCCAAGTAGTCCCAAGCTATTTCACTCACCCCTGCATGTTCTGCATGAATCCACACACCCCTGATGTTATCTGTCAAACTTTCATAGCGAATCAAAACAAACATAGTGTAGTAATAGAATTTCAACTAGAATAGGGTACGTTAATCGTTTGCTTGGGACCAATAGGCTACTAAAGTGGTGAGCCAATTTAAAATCGTTAGTTTCGTATTGATTGTTGAGTATACTACGTGAAGGCAGACAAGAGAAACGCGGTCGTTATCATGGACAAGGACGATTACGACAATCCGATGAAAACGAAGATTAACAACGGACCGTATAGACAGCTTCGAGTAGACCCCTTACAGAACATAGTGAAACGCGTGGAGAAAGCACTGAAGAAGTGCAAATCAATATTAGGAGATGGAGCAGGTCGTTTACGGGAACGCAATCCCATTCTACCCAGGATCAAAGGTCTCCCCAAAGTCCACAAACCGGGAAATGAAATGCGAGAGATCGTGTCTGCAGTTGGTTCCCCCACCCACAAACTAGCGAAGTGGCTAGTCACAGAGTTCCAGAGTATGCCGAATCCAGTTCCCAGTTCCAGAGTAAAGCAGTTAGTAACACCCAGGAGTTCGCCCAGCAACTACAATCTTTAGGAGATATCAACGAGGACGAGATTATGGTATCTTTCGACGTCACAGCTCTTTTTCCCAGCGAACCGGTCAAGGAAGCGGTCAACCATTTGGAGGACTGGCTATTAACACAACGAGAGGATGCAGCATGGAGAAACAAGATTCGGACGTACCTTAAGCTGACCCACCATTGTATGAAAGAGAACTACTTCTCTTTCCGAGGTAACTTCTACAAGCAGACGAAAGGAGCCCCAATGGGAAACCCCCTATCCCCCTTCTTGTGTGAACTTTTCATGGCCAACTTGGAGACAATCCTGAAGGAGAAAGGACTATTACCAAACCGTTAGTGGAGGTTTGTTGACGATATCTTCAGCGAAGTTAAACGGGAAGCCCTTCCACAAATTTTAGATGAGAACAACAGAATTCACAAGAATATCAAATTCACTCACGAGGTAGAAAAAGACGCATTTCTCGATCTTCTAGTCATCAGGGAATCGTCATCATCTTCCTCGCTTGAATACGAAATTTACAGGAAACCAACAAGCACCAAAAGAGTTATCCCCTATACATCCAACCATTCGTTCCAGCAGAAAATGGCCGCCTTTCACCACATGATTCATCGAATGCAGACTCTTCCACTCAGCGATACAGGAAAGGTTAAGGAATTACAGTACATCTTGGAAACAGCAAGACTCAACGGATACAAGCAGACCACAATCCAGGCAATCATCGATAAAAAAGCGAGAATTCTACAAAGGAGATTATTTACAACCCTCACCGCAGCACCTGAACCATTGAAACGATTGTCCGTTCCATTTGATCAAGATAAACGCGTTTCTCAGTTAAAACAATTCGGATTAGATTTAGTTTTCACCAGTAGACATAACCAGTTGGAATCATTGTTAGGATCCACTAAAGACCCAGTTAATGTTTTAGGTAAAGCAGGTGTATATAAAATAAGCTGTAATCATTGTAACAAAGTATATGTAGGACAAACCAAGAGAACTTTAGCAACTAGATTTAAAGAACATATAGCGGAGGTTAATAAGGCCAAAAAGCAAGAGGAAAAAGGCCTAACATATGATTTCAAATCAAAGGTTGCAGAACACATCTTCACACGATTTTACGAACCGTATCTACACCATGGAAATTGGATGTTTCAGAAAGCCTCGAGATCAAACAACGTAATTCAACTTTACTCAACAGGGATCAAGGAAACGGACACACATGGCTTTTCAAGTTACTACCTAGGACACAGCAACGAGTAAGCAGCGGAATACCTGTTCCTACAGGAAATTAAATTTAAGTTTACCTAGTTTCTAAGTGAAAATGTACCTGTGTTAATATATATTCGGTAAATGCGATGTTTTTCTTCAGTCGAGTAAAGGGTGTCCACGATGAAATTGCCACACTATGAAATTCCTCTAACTTTTTAACCGTTGGGTAGAATTTAATGAAAATTTGGGTGGATTTAGTTCATAGTGCATTATTTACATCCTGCAAGTTTTAAAGTCCTGTGATCAAAATTCGCGGAAATGGAGTCGAAAGAACAGCTCGTGCGTGATAAAATCTTGCGCATTCATCACGAGAACAAGGATCTCTCGCATCGTTCCATCGCTAAAACATTGGGAATCGCGAATTCCACGGTGTCGCGAGTGATTAAGCGGTTCGAGGAACGGTTGACCACCGATCGGAAGCCCAGAAGTGAAGGAAAAAGTATTCCGTACAACACCAAAAATCACAACCGCGTAGTTGGGGCCTTCAACCGAAATCCGAACGCCTCCGTTAGGAATGTGGCTAAGAAGCTGCACCTAAGCCGAAGTTTTGTCCAGAAGGCCAAAACTAAGGCTGGGATTCGAACGTTCAAGGTACAAAAGGCCCCTAATCGCGACGAGAAGCAGAACAAGTCCGCCAAAACCCGTGCCAGGAAGTTGTACCTCAACATGCTGGCGAAAGTTGAATGCTGCATCATGGACGACGAAACATATGTGAAGGCCGACTTCAAACAGATCCCCGGCAACCTGTTTTTCACGGCCAAGGATAAGTTCAGCGTTCCGGAGCATGTCCGCACTCAGAAGATGTCCAAATTTGCGAAGAAATTCCTGGTTTGGCAAGCCATCTGCACGTGCGGGAAGCGGAGTGCACCTTTCGTGACCCAGGACACGATGAACGGACAGGTGTACATAAAAGAGTGCCTCCAGAAGCGGCTGCTTCCTCTCCTGAAGGCCCACAACGTCCCAACAATCTTCTGGCCGGATTTGGCCTCATGCCACTACTCCAAGGACGTGCTGAAGTGGTATGCGGACAATAAGGTCAATTTCGTGCCGAAAATGTTCAACCCTCCCAACACTCCGGAGCTCCGCCCCATCGAGAAGTACTGGGCGATTATGAAGCAGCACCTTCTTAAACGACCTAAGGTAGTGAAGACAGTCGAGGAACTGAAGAAAGTATGGGTTTACATGCAAAAAACGGTTGATTCACAGGTTGTGCAGAATCTTATGGCCGGGGTTAAGGCCAAGGTGCGGGAATTTGCGTATGGACTGTAAATAAAATACGAGTAAAATGGTAAAATGAAGTTTAATAGTTATTTCTCAATCCCTGAAAATTTGATGGCAATCGGATGAAAACTCGAATTTTGCGAATCAATTTTGTGTGTGGCAATTTCATCGTGGACCCCTTTATTAGTACAAGACACTGAAGAAGCCTGC